TTATGCCATTTACTTACTGCTATGTGCGTATGTTCTGTGGGAACTAATGGAGAACCTGGTTCTCTATATAGTTTGGTGGACCCTTAAATTCTATCAATTGGTATAAGAACAGGTTCTTTTTATCAGGCTAACACCTAGAAAGGATCCTCATGGTTGCTCTACCAAACTTCGAAGAAGGTCAGTCTACTTACAGGCCACCTAGGTTCAATGGTCAATACTATGGATGGTGGAATACAAGGATGCACGACTTCATCATGGCTGAAGACTCCGAGTTGTGGGGCGTTATATGTGACAGTACCTTTGTCCCTACAAAGAAGGTTGGAGATCCAGCCGTGACAGTTCCTAAGACAAGAAAGGTGTTCAATGATGCTGATCGAAAAGCCATTGAGAAATATTTTCATGCTAAGAAAATTCTAGTTTGTGGAATAGGTCCTGATGAATACAACATGATATCTGCTTGTCAATCTGCAAAAGAAATATGGGAAGCTCTACAGACTGCTCACGAGGGAACCACTCAAGTGAAGCAATCCAAGATTGACATGCTCACCACTGAATATGAGCTCTTCAGAATGAAGGACGATGAATTCATTCAAGATATGCATACTCGATTCACTTCCATCATCAATGAGCTGCACTCTCTTGGTGAAATCATTCCCAGAAATAATCTTGTAAGAAAGATTCTAAGCGTGCTTCCCAGCTCTTGGGAAAGTAAGGTAAATGCTATCACTGAGGCGAAGGATTTGCAGACACTGACCATAGACGAGCTGGTTGGAAATTTAAAGACTTACGAAATGAAAAAGAAAAAGGATCATGAGAGAAGAGAGCCCAAAAGGAAGAATAACCTGGTCCTCAAGATAGACAACAATGAATCAAGTAGTGAAGATGCTGATATGGCTTACTTGACAAAGAGATTTCAGAAGACGGTCCGCAAAATAGAGGTATTCCGAAAAAGGGCAGCTCCAGCAAGACAAAAGGTTATGACCTATGTTATAAGTGCGGCAAGCCAGGACACTTCATCAAGGATTGCCCTCTTCTCAAGCACGATCAATACAAACACAACACTAACAAAGTAGCCAAGAGGAACCAGGTTCCTGACAAAAGATTCAAAAGAAAAGACGCTGCTGACAACGTTGTGAAACAGGCTCTTGTTGCATGGGGAGACTCTTCCAGCGAATCCGGAGAAGATGATGGGCAAGGTGACAGCTCTATGATGGCAGTGGAAAGTGAAGCAGCTGAGTATGACTCTATTTTTGCCTTGATGGCGTAGTCTGATGATGATGGAGATGGCGACGATGATGATGAGGTAAACCTTCTAGATGTTCAAAGAAATTTGAAATCCTATTCTCAAAAGAAGATTATATCTTTGGAAAATATTTTAATTGATGCTTATCACAGTCTCATTAATGATAAAAATGCACTAACCACGGAACTAGGAGAAATAGAATACGAGAGAGATGATCTAGTGGTGGTTGCGGGTGATCTAAGAGAGACCATTGGGAGTTTAAAAAGGGAAAAAGATACCTTGACTGAGAGAATTGCAAACATAGAGCACGAGAGAGATTTGGTAGTAGTTGTAGACCTAAAGGAAACAATTGAGGAACCAAGAAGGGAAAATAGGCCTGTGAATACTAAAAAGGGAAAGGAAGTTGCAAGTGAGGCACACCTTATGCTTAAAAATGAGTAAAGATCAGTGAAATCTAGTTTGTGTGCTGAGCTTGAGAAAAACAAACAACTTCAGGAAGAACTAAGAAGAGTGAAGAGTGATCTTGAAAAATCACTTAAGTGGGCCTGGTCCTCTAATGCTATCACTGCCTTATACACAAACAATGGGGGAAACAGGCAGGGAATCAGGTTCCAAAGGGAAAAGACTCCCTACAACCCTCATAGCAAGTATATTACTGTACCTGACAATTGGCTTTGCACTCACTGTGGTAACACTGGGCACTTTAAAGAAAACTGTAAGGCCAGAATTCAGTCTCAACAGAAAAATAAAGTTTTTCCTGAATAAGTAACTGTTGCTAGGGAACTTGCTCCTTCACATAAAAAACCGTATAATGCCTGCTTGGACCAAAAGAGCCCTTATTCACCCCTTTCCTCATTACAAGGGACCCAAACTTATTTGGGTTCCTAAGTCTAACCCTTGATTTTCTTGTGCAGGGAACAGTGAAAGGGAGCAGTCAAAAGTGGTACATGGATAGCGGCTGCTCGAAGCACATGACTGGAAGTACAAATGATTTCCTTTCACTGAAGGCCCTGCAGGGAGGGAGTGTATCCTTTGAAAATGACAAAAAGGGATACATTCTGGGAGTAGTAAGAATTGGGAAGTCTCTCACTCACTCAATCGAGAATATGTTTTACGTGAATGGCTTGAAGTACAACTTTTTGTGTGTCTCTTGGATCTGCAACAAAGGCAACAAGCTACTTGAGTACTGTTGATGATGATGCTGAACTATGGCATATAAGGCTGTGTCATGCAAGTTTCACGTTGCTGAACAAATTGGTCAGGAAGGACCTGGTTCGTGGTCTGCCCAAGTCAAGATTCAAGGATCACAGGGTGTGTGATGCATGTGTAAAGGGAAAGCAAGTCAGATCCTCTTTCAAGCTCAAAAAGTAAGTAAGCACTTCAAGGCCACTTGATCTCCTCCATATGGATCTATGTGGACCTATGAGAGTACCAAGTAGAGGAGGAAAGAAGTACATTTTCGTCATTGTGGATGACTACTCTAGATTCACATGGACCTTGTTCCTCAGAACTAAATATGAGACTCCAACCGACATAGAAGAACTTGGTCCCTCAATCACAATAACTGAAGCAGAAAACAGAGTTGTGGATGCTGTACATGGAACTCCAGCCGCTGAGGTGAGGAACATGACACATGGATCAAATCCATAAGAACCTGGATCCTCTCTTAATATGATTCAGGTGTCCAACTGGAAGTGCAAGAGCTCACACCCTCTTCAAAACATAATCACTCCTCTTGATTCAGAAATTCAAACCAGGTCAAAGACAAGAAACTCACTTGCCTTCTCAGCCTTTCTCTCTCAAATATAGCCTACGAATATCAAAGAAGCATTGAAAAATGCAGATTGTATTACATCTATGCAAGAAGAGCTCCATCAGTTTGAGAGGAACAGTGTGTGGAACCTGGTTCCACGACCTGCTAACAGAACTATTATAGGAACTAGATGGGCATTCAGAAACAAACTTGATGAGTTTGGAAGCACATTTTTTAAACTCGATAAGGCTTTGTATGGTTTAAAGCAGGCTCCCCATACTTGGTATGAAAGGTTGTCAAAATGCCTTCTAGAAAATGGCTTTATAAGAGGAAAAATTGACAATGCTCTTTTTTTGAAGAAACGAGGAAGGAACCTACTCATTGTGCAGATCTATGTTGATGACATCATCTTTGGAGCAACAGTTGAATCTCTATGTGAAGAATTTGCAAAACTCATGGGAAGTGAGTTAGAAATGAGTATGATGGGGGAACTGAATTTCTTCTTAGTGTGTATGCATCGCTCTTATGTTCTAGTTTTAGTCATGTTTGTGTGCACACATGTGGCATGAGTTAACCAAGCTGGACTTCTTTTTGCTTAATGCTTGTTACTGATCTTTTTATGATGCCAAAAGGAGGAAAAATAATTGAGGGGGAACAAGATTGGGAACAGAGATGGGGAATAGATTCAGGGTGAATACAGGAAATGCGAATGTCATTCTGGTTCTCAGGGAGAACTTGAATTATAAGTTTGTCATCATCAAAAATGGGAAAATTGATAGGTTATATGTGTATCCCTGTTATGTTTTGATGATCTAACAAACTTACTGTTAAGAACCAGATAAGGAACCTATTACACATCCTCAAGAACTCAAGACCAACAAGTCTCTAGTTGGGAACACTATTCAACTCTTGAGAGTCAGAGGAACAGCAGAGGGAACAGGTCTCTACCAGCTCCCGAGGTGACTGTACAAAGTCAACTTTACAGCTATAAAGTTGCTGCCTGCACACGCTACAGTACAGGAATAGTGCAACAATCAACTTTATAGGGAATGCCCTTTACCTAACTTGCTTGCATCATCCAAGTGATGTCACAAATGAGATATTAACATCAAGCAAAGGAAAAACAAATGACTTACACATTCAAGAACTCATCAAGCATTCTCTCAAGTCTGTGTCAATCCTGCAAGTGATCCTCAAGGGCATCAAGAATGAAGAACAACATAACCAAGGACCAATTCCGTGTATTGAAGTTATTACATGTCCTTAGTTGTGTTGTATCTTTGTTAAAGCACTCTACTTGTAATTCCTACTTAGCTTAGTTAGAAGCATTGTGTAGGAAATTTTTGTAAATCATAAACCTTTGTGTTTGTGCCTTGGCTAGAGTTAGTCGAGTTGTAAAGTCTTTGTAATAGAGTTATTACAAAGTGGCTTGTAATATAGTGTTATAAGTTAGTGAGGGATTAAGAGGTTAATTCCTAGGTTACAATAGGTTGTAATCTAAAGTTGCTCAGTAGTGAAGTTGAAATCCTACAAGGGTAGGTCGTGGTTTTTAATTCCATTGAGCCGGGAATTTTCCACGTAAAACTCCATTATGCCATTTACTTACTGCTGTGTGCGTCTGTTCTGTGAGAATTAATAGAGAACCTGGTTCTCTATATAGTTTGGTGGACCCTTAAATTCTATCACATTCTCTTTTATTTTATGCTTTATTTTAAAATTGTTGTACGGCTGCACAAGAAATGAACAACGAAGACCATGGAACTGAACACACCACAAACTAATTTCAGAAGTCAAGACTCAAGAGGTCTATAAAAGGTAATGAACTGTAAGTAAAGATCAAAAACTTGCATGCAAGTTTCTACATCGATCCATGTATTAGTACTGGTTTAAATTACCAGTATCAATAACTAATTAACTAGTTCTGGGAATTCCATATAGTCCGGCTCAATGTGTATTGAATACTGCTTCAAATTCATTAATAGAATCCAAGCCAATACTAAAAAGCTAAGCGAAACCTCCACCGTTCATATGCAGCATAGCATTAATTTCATCCCCATCCATCATCTCTAGCTGTTAATAAGAAAAAGAAGAAGTAATTAGAAAAAAAACGTTATGTGAACACAAAAACAAATTCAAAATTTAAATTTTATGAATTTTAATTCTTACAAGGACATGAAGTTAATATATATATATATATATATATTAAAGGTTTCCTTAAAAGTTACGAAGTTCACTTGAAATGATAATCAATACCCTGGATCCACCATATCTTGGTGATTCGCTTTTAAGGGGTGAGAAAGGGTAACTACTTATATCAAATGAATGAATACCTTACATTTGTTTTTTTTAGTTACATACAATTTTAACTATTAACTATGGTTAATCGAAATATATTTTTCTCAATTTACACTTGACCATTAGAAATTAATATAATTTGTTGTACTGGATGTAAGTAAATTTTTTTCCGTAGAAAGAGGAGGGGTGGAGAGAGAGAGAGGAAGAGACAAACCTCTTTTGGAGTTTGTTTGCTTCTGATTCTCTTGCTATCAAACAAGAATACAATTTGTTCCATATTCATAAATTTTTTGTCGCAGTAAACCTTCATAAGTTTCTGCAAAGGTGTAGTTACCTGAAGTTTGAAAAATAATTTACCTCCATCCTACAAAAATTGTAAACTTTAGACCCAGAGTCCAGAGACGGGTGACTATATTATTTTCATCTTTCTGAAAAATTATCAAGTGAACAAATATCATATTCTCCTTGGATTTATATGGACAAGCCAAAAAGAAAGAAGATAAAAAACACAAATCTATCAATAAAAATAGCTTGCACAAGTATGAAGAAGAAACAACTCCAATTTTTTGCACTGCCAGCATATTAGCTTGTTATAATAAATTATTTATCATTTATTGTAAATAAAGTTATCTGTAATTACTTTTTATGTGATTTGAGTGTGTAAATGTCTTACTCCATCCGCATAGAACTTACTTTTCAATTTTATGTATATAATCAATGAAAAAGAAGAAGCTAAGTAAACCTAATTTCATCCATATATATAAGTAATGATATAGAAGTAAACCTAGTTTCTCTTGATCGAGATATTTGATGTTACTAAAGTGGAACTCGACTCTTCTGCTTATTGTCAATTATAAAGATATCGATATTTATTACAAAGTACTACAATTTCAGAAAGTCCATACAATTTACTTATCCGGTTATAGTAGTATTAATATTTTTCCCAAGTAGTATAGTGCACATAATATTGAGAGGTAGATAAGAAAACATACAACATGGGAGAAGAAGAAGAAAATAAATCACCTAATTACGTTCAAACTCCTCTAATATAAAATCACATGTAAACTCATTAAGTCATGTAAAGACAAAAATCCGTAAGAAGCAATCAGTGGATCTTAGTTATGCTGCGGCAAGCAGTAACAATAAACAGCTAGATTACGACATATTTGTTAATATCCCACATTGAGAAATCTTAATTGCTTAGACCTCCATTTTGAAAAGAATTTTTTATGGTTAAATTAAACGCATATACTTTAGCCTAAGATTCAGCACCATAAACAGTTATCTAGAGCTCATAATAGTTTTAGTTGAACCTATGGTGCATCGCAGGAGCAACATACTACATAGAAGTTAACCAAGAAATTTCTTCTCAGGGTGCAATATCTTGTAACAAGTAAGAAACGAGGCGATAATTCTACACAATTAATTAAGTTGTGACGAATCATTAAGATTTATCAATTTCTACTAAAGTTATGATACAATTTGTGATCGTCAGAACTTGTGGCAAGACAAGTCTTGTCCCTTCATCAGAACTGGTAACGACCCGCCAAGACTTGTGAATTGTTTATTTCAAATGGCTAACAGAAAGGTGATTTATTACCACCAAATTTTATACCTATCCTATTTATTACCATTGCCGACCACCATCGCCCGGGAAAAAATATAGAACATTGGTGAGGAATGGCAAACTTCACGCCCCTCCATCTTCTATAAACTCTATAATGCATCCATCTAGATGTGCCCTAAACGGCTAACAGAAAGGTGATATAGAGTGTGGGTGCTCCTGATCATTTGCCCAACACTTAAAATAAAACAAAGATGTCTGAGAACCTCAGTAAGGATCGACTTGGTGCTACGGAATGAATCTAGTCATTATCCGATTTAATTATTTTAGCATAGACATGAGTTAAGGCAACCCATGTTTCAGATTTACTACGTGTAGTTCATGACTAAAATGGAGAATTTTCTACTTTTAAGACATATTCGAATAGAACAGTGCAGAAAATCACCAGAAGCATCAAACATAAGAAGATCAACAATCAAGAGATCAACCACAACACACACAAACACACACACACAAGGGGATCAAACCAAAAAGGGAAAAGTGACGAAAGGAAAGAATAAATTAAACATGTATCATAGGAAGAAAAAATAAGGGAGAAAAACAAAACACCTGTGCCGTCACATGAATGACAATGTAAGGTGACTCCTCGACGGGCTTTTTCTCCTCTTGAGTGGTTTTTGACATTTTTCCGTTCTTCTTCTCCTGATCTTGAGTAACTGCCGATGTTTTTCTTTTCCTGTCCTCTTTAATGGCGACAGGCAAATTATTCTCTTGAGTGATTACCGACTTCTCCCCTCCAGTGACTACCGACATTCTTCCTCTCTTTCTAATTCACTTCTCTCCAATATGTCACGTTAATTGGATCAGAGACATTTTGTTGTGGTGAGCTTCCTCTTATACTCTTAAGATTTGAAAGGTCAAATGCGCTTTTAATATTGTAATCTGGCGGAAGATTTTATTTCTGTGTGGATATGACCTGTATTTAATAAGCATGCTAAATCTAGACAACGTCTGATGATTTTTTGTCCATAAAAACCAGGATCATTTATCTTATTTCCCTTTCTAGCCGTGCTTATCATGTATTTGAAATTTTTGTTAATAAGAACAACAAAGAAATTGGTCGAGGCTTTTTATGTAAATCGGCATATTTAATCAGTTATTATAAGACCTGATATGAAACCTCTAGTTAAAGATAAAATGTAAATTCATGATTTCATGACACTCTAGTTAAAGATGAAATGTACTTACTCTACCTCACCCCACAACTTTTGATGGTATTCCCTTCTTTATTTGATTTGTAAGCTCATGGACTATTACCACGGTACTTTATAACATGAGTGGGAGTTTTTTTTGTTTCCTCCATCTATTTGACTCTCGACATGGTTTGTATTTGAATTACATTCACTTACAATGTGATATATGTTTACATTATTCACAATTTGACATATTGTAACTTTATTGTAATAAGTTGCTTATTATACTTTTCAAGGTTACCCTATCTGACATTTACTGCAGTAATTTATCTATGCATATATAAAAGTTGAATTCGTACATTTAATAGTTATATCCCCACATTTATTTAATCTTATTAATAAACTGACTCTCTTAAATATAGTCATCGTATTAACTTATATAATACAATGACTAGTGAAATTCATGTGCCAAACATAAGTCCAAGAGTTTAGAATTAGTTATGGTGTCTAGAGTGCTTAACATCTCTTGCTTTGTGATTAGTTAGATGATCAATGGCAACTGCTTATCTATGTCACGACCCGGAATCCCATCCTCGGGACCGTGATGACGCCTAATATTTCACTTGCAAGGCAAGCCAACATGAACTAAATTCCTTAACTAGTTTTAACAATTCAAATCAAAATATTAACAATAATAATCGTAATAGCCGAAAATAGAGTGATATAATACTGAATAACGTAATCTAAACATATACCAGAATCTGGAGTCACGAATACATGAGCGTCTAGAGTACTACAGATATAGTCTGAACAAGTACAACTAATTGCATCTAAATAAACAATAATGATGAAATGGAAGGAGACTTCAGGGATGTGGATGCCGGCTATACCTCAAGTCTCCACAAGTAGCTGAATCCGAGCAATCTCACTACGCGCTTCTGGGATCAACTCCGGTATCTGTACAAGAAATGCAGAAATTAGTATGAGTACAAGCAACCCCATGTACTCTGTAAGTATCAAGCCTAACCTCAATAAAGTAGTGACTAGGCTATGGCAAGTCACTTACAAATAAGCTGTACGAAATGATAATAATAATAATAATAATAATAACAAGAAAACAGGAAATAGAAATAGAACAATTAACTCATGAAAACAAACCCGAAATTCAACTATCAGAGAGCCTAGAATAACAAAGTCTTAATTCTCATATTATAATACCGAGGATAACTCAACAATCACAAATAATTACACTATATTGAATACGTTGCCGCGCGCAACCCAATCCCACCATATCATCATCCGTTCATATCATAATCTGTCCTTATTTCTTCATTTCATTTCATTACCTTTCAATTTTTGCGGCGTACAACCCGCTCCCCGAACACTTTTAATCATCAACATACACAATTCAACAACAATATTTATAAAATATCTACAACAAAAAGGTAAATGTACAAGACATTAAAGAGCCACAAAATAATCGGAGAATCTCGAACATATGAAAATCTCAACTTTACCAATATATCGATACCTAACGGTTAAACAACTAACACAAGTGAAACAATATTTTAGAGTGCAATAAATGATATTAAAACATTAGAAGCAGGTTAAACATGTGACAATTAAGATATGCAATTAAGTCATGTAGAAACATGTTACAAATAAGTAGAAATCATATGAGTAACGAACAAATTAAGACAACTAACAATTAAATAACAAGTAACAAATATAACATAGAAGCCAAGTAAAGACATGTAACAATTAAAACATGAAACAAAACACATCATGAAATAAGCAAAAACAAGAAATAAATATCCAAATCCCGCATTCTAAATTCCATGATGACGTAAATACACTCGTCACCTTGCATATACGCTATTTTCCCACATAATTTACATAACAAATAATTCAGCAAATCCTAATTTCCTTAAGTCAACGTTAGAAACAACACTTATCTCACTCCTCGAATCAAAGCAATCAATCAACCACGGCTTTGACTTTTGAACAAGCCTCCAAACTAACCAAATCTAGAAAATTATTGATCAAACGATTCAAAATAGGCTTTAGAAACTACCCATTATTAAAAGAGGTTCAATTTGATAATTTTTTTAAAATTCAACAAACGTTAACCCCATGCCTGCTTGGTCAAAACTCGAGATTCGAACCAAAACCCGATTATCCATTCACCCTCGAGTCCGGTTATTTGATTTATTTCGAAATCCTACCTCAATTTGAGGTTTAAATCTTAATTTTACATAATTCGTAATTTCTACCTAAATCCCTAATTTCTACCATGAAAATTCTAAACTTGATATTGAAATCTCATGAAAAGTAATGGGGAATTGAAAAGAAATGGATTAAAGTTGCTTACCAATGCGATCCCCTCAATTCTGACAAATTATTCGCAAATGCGAACAACCACCCATCACAAATGTGACCAAAAGTTTTGCAATGCGAAACAAGTTGCCTTAAGCGAACTGCCACAGTTCGTAAAAGCGAACACAATCCTCGTAAATGTGAGATCACCCATCCCAAGCCCTGCTCGCAAGTGCGAACTTTTGTCCGCAAAAGCGAGGCTCGCAAATGCGAGCCAAGCCTCGCAAATACGAGCCAGACCTCGCAAATACGAGCCAGACCTCGCAAATGCGAGATCTGCAATTGAACACCAGAACTGGAAATACACCAGCAGACGTCAAACCATCCAAAGTCATCCGAAACGCGTCTGAAACTCCCCCTCAGGCTCCAAATCAAACATGCACACAAGTGAATTAACATCATACGAACTCGCTCGCGTGATCAAATCACCAAAATAATATCTATAACTACAAATCGAGCAGCAAAATGAATGGTATTTTAAAGGGAACTCAAGAACAACTAAAATCACAACTAAGCATCCGAATCATATCAAACCAATTCCGAATTGCACCAAATTTTGCAGACAAGTTTCAAATAGCAAAACTGATCTATACCAAGTCCCAAAATCAAAATCCAAACCTGATATCTAAGAACTAAACCTATGGTAAAACCTAAAAAATTTCCAAACTTTCAAATTACTAGCTTTTGGCAAAATGAGTCAAATTACCCTAGGGACCTCCGATTTCAATTTCGGGCATACGCCCAAGTCCAAAATCACAATACGGACCTACCGGAATCGTCAAAACATCGATCTGGGGTCATTTTCTTAAAATATTGATCGTAGTCAACTCAAATTATTTTAAAGCCAAAAATTATATTTTCTTCAAATTTTCACATAAGAGCTTTTCAAAAAGCGACACGGACCGCACACGCAGACCAAGAAACATTAAGCGAAGCTAACGGAGGTCTCGAAACACAGAAATAAGGACTAGTGACCTATACAGTCATCACATTCTCCACCTCTAAAAGAAAGGTTCGTCCTTGAACGGACATAGAAAAGTACATGGGCTGGTGAAAAGGTGTGGGTATCTACTCCGCATGTCAGACTTGGACTCCCACGTAGTTGCCTCGATTGACTGACCTCTCCACTGCACTCTCATAGAAGGATAACTTTAGACCTTAACTTCCGGACCTGCCGGTATAGAATAGTCACCGACTCCTCCTCATAAGTCAAATCCTTGTCCAATTGGACTGAGCTGAAATCTAATACATGAGATGGATCACCATGATACTTCCGGATTATGTAAACATGGAACATCGAGTGAACTGCCGATAAGTTGGGTGGCAATGCAAGTTTTTAGGACACCTCCCCAACTCTCTTAAGAGTCTTAAAAGGACCAATATACTTAGGGCTCACTTTTCCCTTCTTTCCGAACCTCATCACACCCTTAATGGGTGAAACCCGCAACAAACCCTCTCTCCCACCATTAATGCTAAATCACGAGCCTTCCGATCAGCTAACTCTTCTCTCTAGACTGGGTTGTACGAAGCCGATCCTGAATCAACTTGACTTTCTTAGGCATCCCGAATTGAATCAGTGCCTAACAACCTAGCCTCTCCTGGCTCAAACCAACCAACTGGAGAATGACACTACCTCCTATATAAGGCCTCATAAGGAGCCATCTAAATAGTCGATTGGTAGCTTTTGTTGTATGCGAACTCGGAAAGCGGTAGAAACTGATCCCATGAACCCTCAAATTCATAACACACGCATGTAACATATCCTCCAAGATCTGAATGGTGCACTTAGACTACCTTTCTGTGTGGAGGTGAGATGTTATACTCAACTCTACCCGTTAGCCTAGCTCCTGCTGCATGGATCTCTAGATATATGATGTGAACTGCGTGCCGCGGTCAGAAATAATAGACACTAGCACACCGTGAAGGCGAATGAAATCTCGGACATAGATCTGAGCCATCTGCTCCGAATATAAGTGACCACCACCGGAATGAAATATGCAAACTTGGTCAACCTATCCACAATGACCCATACTACGTCAAATTTCTTCAAAGTCCCTGGGAGCCCAACAGTGAAATCCATGGTAATACGCTCCTACTTCCACTCGGGAATTTCATGTCTCTGAAGCAAATCGCCCGACCTCTGATGTTCGTATTTCACCTGTTGGCAATTCAAACACCGAGCCATATACTCTACTATTTATTTCTTCATTCTTCTACACCAATAATGCTACCTCAAATTCTGAT